AAACAACTTTTTGCACCAAACTCCTTGAAACATTCCCAAAGTTCTAAGCATTCTGTTGTGCTTATCTCATGAAACTGTGCATAGCAATACACTGGGTATGCTGTCCCTGCTTGCTTACACATATGAATATACCCTCTCGATTCCATTCACTCATATGAGCATTTGACCAGGAGAACGAATGCATTTCCAGCCTTCCCTGGGCATTGCAGAATCTTTGCAGTAAGTGGTATAGGTTTCCTACAATGAGCATTTGTTTGGAAAACTAAACTTAGTCTTCCTCTAATGTGTTCGTACACAAGCTCTATACATGTTACTATGTTATCATGAAATACCAGTGTAAAACCAAGAAAACAACTTTCTGCACCAAACTCCCTGAAATATTCCCAAAATTTTAAGTATTGTACTGTGTAAAAAACTAAACTTACTCTCGTTCAACTAAACTTAACTTACTTGTTTAAGTAAGTTAACTGTGCATAGCCATACACTGGGTATGCTGTCCCTGATTCTTTCACACATCAATGTACCCATTCCTTCCATTCACACATCCCCGCATTTGACCAGGAATCTCGAATGCATTTGTACCCTTCCCTGAGCATTACAGAATCTTTGCTGTAAGTGGTATACATTTCCTACAGTGAGGACTTGTTTGGAAAGCTAAACTTTGTCACCCTCTAATATGATGGTATGCAAGTTGTATACATCCTACTATGTGATCATGTAATACCAGTGTAAAGTGAAGGAAACAACTTTCTGCACCAAGCCCCCTGAAACCTTTCCAAAGTTGTAAGTTTTGCACTGTTCTTATCTCATGAAACTGTGCATAGCACTACATTGGGTACGCTGTCCATGCTTGCTTACATGTGTCAATGTACCCTTTCCATTCCATTCACTCATATGTGCATGTGACTGGGAAGGTCGAATGCATTTCCACCCTTCCCTGAGCATCACAGTATCCTTGCTGTAAGTGGTATAGGTTGCCTACAGTAAGCACTTGTTTGGCAAACTAAACTTAGTTGTCCTCTCATAGGTTGGTACACAAGCTGTATACATGCTACTACAATATCATGTAATACCAGTGTAAAACCAAAAAAAACAAGTTTCTGCACCAAACTCCCTGAAACATTCCCAAAGTCGTAAGTGTTATTTTGTGGTTATGTCATGAATCTGTGCATAGTTATATATTTCGTATGCTGTCCCTGCTTGGTTACACACATCAGTGTACCTATTCCATTCCATTCAGTCATGCACGCATTTGATCAGAAAGAGCAAATGCATTTCCACTCTTTCCTGAGCATGGCAGAATCTTTGCTGTAATTTGTATAGGTTTCCTACAGTGAACACTTGTTGGGAATACTAAACTTAGTCCCCCTGTAATATGTTGAGACAGGAGGTCTGTAGAAGGTACTATGTGATCTGTAATACCACTTTAAATCCAAGAGAACAACTTTCTGCATCAAACTCCCTGAAACATTCCCAATGTTCTAAGTGTTGTGATGTGCTTAAGTCATAAAACTGTGCATAGGAACACATTGGTTATGCTGTCCCTGCTTGCTTACACACACCACTGTACCCATTCCATACTGAGAGGCACATTTGACTGGGAAAAATGAATGAGTTACCACCCTTCCCTGAGCATCATTGATTCCTTGCTGTAAGTGGTATAGGTATCCTTCAGTGAGCACCTGTGTGGAAAACTAAACTTAGTCTCCCTCTAATATGTTGGTACACAAGCTCTATACATGTTACCATGTGATCATGTAATGCCTGTGTAAAACCCAGAAAAGAACTTCCTGCACAGAACTTCCTAATACACTCCCAAAGTTCTAAGTTTAGATCTGTGCTTATGTGGCTGGGAATATAGCTCAGTGGCATAAGTGCCTTCCTGTTTTGTGGTTATGTCATAAAACTGTGACTAGGAATACTTTGGGTATGCTGTCCCTACTTGCTTACAGAGACCAATGTACCCATTCTATTCCATTCACTGAGAGGCCCATTTGACCGGGAAGAGCTAATGCATTACCTCCCTTCCATAAGCATCGCTGAATCTTTGCTGTAAGTGGTATAGGTTTCACGGTGAGTGCTATTTGGAAAACTAAACTTAGTCTCCGACCAATACGTTGGTACACAAGGTCTATAGATGCTACTATGTGATCATGTAATACCAGCGTACAACCAAGAAAGCACCTTTCTTCACCGAATTCCCTGAAACATTCCCAAAGTTGTAAGTATGTTGTGCTTATCTCATGAAATTGTGCATAGGAATACATTGGTTATGCTGCCCCTTCTTCCTTACACAAAAGCCCATCTACCCATTTCATTGCATTCACTTATATGTTCATTTCACGGGGAAGAGTGAATGCATTTCTACATTCCCTGAGCACTGCTGAATCTGTGCTGTAAGTTGTTTACATTTTCTACACTGAGCACTTGTTTGGGAAATGAAACATCTCCCTCTCATATATTCGTATACAAGCTCTATACATGCTACTATTTCATCATGTAATACCAGTGTAAATCCAAGAAAAAAACTTTCTACACAGAGCTCCCTGAGACATTCCAAAGCTCAAAGTGTTCCTCTGTGCTTCTGTCATGGAACTGTGCATAGGAATACATTGGGTTCGCTATTCCTGCTTGCTGACACTCAAGCCAATATACCCATTCCATTCCATTCACTCATACGCGCATTTGTCCGGGAAAAGTGAATGCATTTCCACCGTCTCCTGAGCATCGCTGAATCTTTGCTCTAAGGGGTATAGATTTCCTCCAGTGAGTGCCTGTTTGCAAAACTAGTCTTAGTCTCCCTGTAATATGGTCTCACACAAACTCTATACATGTTAGTATGTCATCAAGTAATACCAGTGTAAAAATCAAGAAAATAACTTTCTATACAGAACTCCTTGAGACATTCACACACTGCTAAGTGATGTGTAGGGCTTATGTCATGAAACTGTGCATAGGAATACATTGGGCACGCTGTCCTTGCTTGCTTACACAGAAGCCAGTGTACCCATTCCATTCCATTCACTCCTTCACGCATTTGCCTGGGAAGAGTGAATGCCTTTCCACCCTTTCCTAAGCATTCCTGAATCTTTGCTATAAGGTGTAAAGGTTCCCTACCATGAGCACTTGTTTGGAAAACTAAAGTTAGTCTCCCTCTCATATACTGGTACACAACGTCTATACATGCTACTATGTGATCATGTATTACCCGTGTAAAATCAAGAAAACAACTTTCTGCACAGAACTCCCTGAAATGTCTAAGTTACATGTTTTGCTTATCTCATGAAACTGTGCATAGGAATATACTAGGTACGCTGTCCATGCTTGCTGACACAGAAGCCAATGTACCAGTTCCATTCCATTCACTCATATGGGCATTTGACCGGGAAGTGAAAGCATTTCCACCCTTCCCTGAGCATCCCTGAATCTTTGCTGTAAGTGGTATAGGTTTCCTACAGTGAGCACTTGCTTGGAAAACTAAACTTAGTCTCCCTCTAGTATGTTGGTACACAGGTTCTATACATGCTACTAATGTGATCATCTAATGCCAGTGTAAAACCAATAAAGCAACTTTCTGCACAAAACTTCCTTAAACATTCACACAATTCTAATAGTTGTGTTGTGCTTATGTCATGAAACTATGCATATGCATATATTGGGTATGCTATCCCTGCTTGCTTACACACATCAGTGTACCCCTTCCGTTCCATTCAGTCATACATGCATTTCACCAGGAAGAGCAAACGCATTTCCACCCTTCCCTTAGCATGGCAGAATCTTTGCTGTAAGTGGTGTAGGCTTCCTACAGTGAACGCTTGTTTGGAAAACTAAACTCAGTCTTCCTCTAATATGTTGGGACACAAGGTCTATACAAGGTACTATGTGATCTGTAATATCCGTGTAAAACCAAGAAAACAACTTTCCGCACTGAACTCTCTGAAACATTCCCAATGTTCTAAGTGCTGTTATGTGCTTAAGTCATAAAACTGGACATAGGAATACATTGGGTATGCTGTCCTGCTTACTTACACACACCAATGTACCGATTCCATTCCATTCACTGAGAGTACTCACTCAACTAAAAATAACGAACTTTATGTATCTAGATATAATAGGGCCACTATAGATATCCGATAAGGCAAGTGAGAAGGAAAAACCACGTTGCCCTTCCTGGCTACCTCCTTGGTGAAGATGAAGCCGATGCTTCATGTACGTACTGGGCAGGTTCTCTACTCCTGAGCCACAGTGCAGTCCCCTTCTGACAGACTTCCAAATCTTTACATTCTTTTCTGAAACCCAAATCCCTAACTCCACCTCTCAGATGAGTGGAGCAAGCAAATGAAATGGAGCATACAGTGAACCTGAGGGCTGAACACTGGCCTAGCCTAGTGGATGCTGGGTGCCCGGCTGCATTCCCCACCGTCCTGACAAAGTTAAAGTGGGGTCTTGAGGTAAAAACCAAGTGGGGGACTCTGAGATTGACCAGAGGAGAATCTTAAATATCCCAAACATTTCTACCCTGCTGTAATAATCCACATCCAATTTCTTTTGACTCCAACTCTTTACCTTTCTTACAGGTGCCTCTTCCCTATGTTCTTCCTTTTCCCTGGACGTTTCTTAAGACAAAGGGGGGATATTCGACTTTCCCATTCCCACAAAGGTCCTCACCTTTCTCGGTCCCTTGTTTTGTTCTTCTGTAGGACAATCGACACTGTTGTGTTCTGGAGCTTCTAACAACGGGCGATCGGTGAGCACTTAGGTCCGGAGACTGCGATGCGGAGACGCAGTTGCATCCCAGCAAGGCGGTCCGGCTGTGCTACACCCACCGGGGCTCTTGCCGCTGCAGCTTGGCCTTTGCCCTCAGTACCGCCCCGAAGTACCGCCCCTATGTGAGGCGTGGCCACCCGTTGACTCCAGTCCTGGACTGGGTTGAAGGGGTGCCCTCAGCCAATTAATGCGCGGGGGTGTTGTCTTGGGGCGGGGCTGCGGTCTCGCTGAGCCTGCCGGCCCTGCTCCGCCTAGCGCGACCGTGGAGTTCTCGCCGCCGCTGCCCTGAGTCCTCCCATAGCAGTCCTCGGGCCTGGGGCTCCGCGAGACATGGCCTTGGCCACTGCGTCCGCAAGGACGGCCCTCGGCCGGGCCTCCTTGCTCCTTCTGCGGCGCGGCTACCAGACAGAGAGGGGTGTCTACGGCTGCCCGCCGAGGAAGACCGAGAGCCGGGTGCCCCGGGGTGGCCCGGCGAGCACTTCAGGTCTGGGCTGGGCCGGGGAGTCGCGGGAGGCTGCTGCAGGAGGGTGTTGGGACCCGGGGGCTGAGCCGCTGGCCAGTGAGTGTGGCAGCCCCTGGGGAGTTAGAGGACACACGATGGGTGTTTTCAGGGCCGGGATCATCCCCTGGTTAGCCTCTGTAGCTGGGGATCCATGAAGTCGGGGTTCCAACGTTGGTTCAGTCTCCTTTTCCTAGTTCTGACTTGGTTTTAGGAAGCTCTTTTTTCCCCCATTTTATTTTATTGTATTAGTACATGTTTGTAATTCATGTAGTTTACAATCGGCACGCGCGCGCGCGCTTGTGTGTGTGTGTGTGTCTGTGTGTTTTAATCACCTTCCTCTTCCTTCCCCCTCTTCTCCTCTGGTTCCTCATCACCTTTTTCCTGCTTGCTGATGCAATTTGTTTTAGCACTAGTTATGGCTTATAATGTTTACATCCATTTGGCACTTGGCGTATCTTTCTTCATCTCATTTACCCTCCTCCTTCCCCCTCTCCTTGTTCCCTTGGACCCTTTCCCTATTGGATGAGATCTGTCCCCTTGTCCCTTTCTATCCATCTTTATAATTTTCTGTGTACTTTGCCTCACTCAAATGAGGGATATTCCTCGCAATTGAATATGTGGGAATTGTGCTGTCTGCAGGGCTGAGGCTGTAGAAAAAGAGAAGTCCTAGGGTGGCCCAGCCCTGGAGTTACCTAACGGATACTTTCCAGGACTGGCTCCAAGGCTGTGTGGGTGGAGATGTGCGGGTGAGGAGGGCAGTTCATACTGACCTTAAAGGGCAGTGTTACTGTTTGTCTCTTTGACCTAGCTAGGCTTTCACTTGAATTTCAGAATTTGAGACTGTAATTTAGAGCCCCGTTGCTGGTGGATTCACTAACTTGCACATCAGGTTTTGTGATCTGTGTTGCACACACATGTGAGAGAGACTAATGTAGTCCGTTTATGTACTAAAGTTATTCAATTTTCATTCATTCTCACAGAATAGATGAATACTAACTGGTTGTTAGAAAATGGATTTGGAACTTAGGTCCAAAGATTAGATTAATACTGAAGATCCTTTCATCGAAGCACCTGACCTTTGAATCTTATATCACATGCTGGACCACCAGTATTTTGCTCTTCATCCTAAGGGAACAAAAACCTCATTTCTTTCTTTTGAATGCAATTTTTTTTGAAAGCAAAACATTTTAACCAACTAGATTGGCAGATTTAGGTATTTTATTTCACTGTGTAAATGAGTGTTTAGAACTTTCTGCCCCTGGTGTTGGGGAAGAAACCTAGGGTTTTTTCTCCCACTAAGCCACCCACCTGCCCCCTCAAAGTTTGTGTGAGCTGTTCTCATATTCAGATGTGGAAGCCATGTGTGGTGGTGCACACCTGTAATCCCAGCACTTGGGAGTCTGAGGCAGGAGGATTGCTGTGAGTTTAAGTCTCAGCCTGGACTACACAGTGAAACCTTGTCTCAAACCAAACAAACAAACAAAAGACTCACATGTGAATTAAAAGTGATTTAAATGTTTACAGTGTCAGTTCCCAGATGTTGCTCCATTTCCCTCCACAGGATTTAATTCAGTGATCTGAGGTGAGGTTCAGGAATATGGTCTGTTTTTACCTTTATTTTTTCGGTGGTAGGGGTCAGATGAAAAGCCTTGTGTGTGCCAACCAAGTGCTCCATTCCAGGCTATACTTCCAATCCAGGAATCTGTATTTTTACCAGGTACCCTATGTGATTCTTTAACAGAAAGGTACGTGACCACCCTTGGCCAACACTTCTAGTCACAAGGGATGCATATGCAGGATGAGTTGGACAGAAGTTCATGCTATTGTGTGCTCAGTGCATGGACTCTGTGACCTCCTTTGGAGTTTTCCCTCGTAACAAGAGACTGATTTCTTATTAAGAACCTGGCAGATGAGTACTGTATTAACCTAGGCAGTGGTTCTCAATTGGAAGATTGTCTCAGAATCATCTTGGGAGTTTTGGGCTGGTGTGTTCTGAGAAATACCTCTGGAGTTGAGTTTGTATGTAACCTGCTCATCACACAATGACCCCCCTCCCTCTACCAGTAGTAAACTTGCTCTGTTATGAGCTGCTTGGTGACCTCAGAAAGCTCAATATTGAATTAGAACTATAGGGGCTGGGGATTTAGCTCAGCGGCACAGCACCTGCCTGGCAAGTGCAAGGTCATGAGTTCGATTCCCGGTACCGGAAAAAAAAACAAAAAACAAAAAACCCCCAAAAAACAAAACAAAACAAACAAACAAACAAAAAAACACAAAGAACTCAGGGCTCCAATCTTGCATAGCTCAGGGCTCCAATCTTGCATAGTCCTAGAAGGCAAGAGTGAAATCCTGCCAGAAACAGTTGTGTATGGCAGGATCTGCCTTAAAGAATTTTGTTGCTAAGAGTAATACATTTCTTTTCATCTTCCTTATTTTTTGGAATAGGCAAATAGGATAAGGTTTGCAAATCACTATTACATGTACATCTTTGAGGGCTTTTTTTCTATCTCAGACAATTTTGTCAGAACTTTGTTTTTTTGTGTGTGGTACTGAAGATTGAACTTAGTGCATATATACTGAGCTATGTCCCTAATATTTTTTTTTTAATTTTGAAATGGGTCTACTAAAGTCCTTAAGTTGCCCAGTCTAAGCTTGAAGATGTGATCCTCCTGCCTCAGCCTTCCAGAGGGCTGGGGTTATAGGCATGTTCCATTATCAGAAGTTTTTGTACAGATTATTAATTATCTCCTACCAGGCTGCATGGGAGAAAGGGGAATGGAGTGTTGCATAGACGACTTCCAATAAGTTGCACTGGTCAGAACTTGGTCAGTATCTATGCATGTCAGCAAAGGGGACTGGGGAGCATTGTCTTCATCCAGAGTGACCATGTACTAGCTGAAAATTATCCTGAGAGAGGAGGAAATTCAATCTTTTTTAAAAAAGGTACACTGCTACGTTCTCTACACTTTTTTTCTCTACAATTTGTTCACCTCCTCTCTCCTCTGAATCCGGCTCAAAGTCATTATCTCCGGACTTTGTACAGTCTTCTCTGCCGGGGCTGGCTGAGGCTAGTCGGGAATGGACTTATGTAAACTCCTACCTACTCATGTACACACATTAGGTATACAAAGAAAACTCTCACTTATCCTTAGAAAGAATGAGGAATGTAGTGCAGTGACTGGCTCAAACCACGTACCAAAACCTGTTAGGAATGTTAGCAGCTGTTAGATGCAATCATGGGTTAAGTCCACCAGTTTACTGGGCTCCCTAACTCTGCCTTCTGTCCATTCCCCTGCCTTGGCCTCATGGATTTTTTTCATGTCTGTCATCTCTGTGGTCATAGTTAACACAACAGTGGAGAGTATAACCTGCTTCGAGGCCACACGCCTTCCACAACCTGCTTTATTTTGACAAGGTTAGGAACTTGAAGGTTACCACAGGGATCATTGGTTACAGTTTTTGTTTTGTTTGACTTTTCTGGCCCAAGTTGGGATTTCTTTGGCAGCACTATTTTCTCCTAAATGTCATAGGTCTGCATTATTTGTCTATGGCCATTCATGAATAAAACTGCCACAATTAAAGATCTCATCTATAAAGATGTTAAGTGTGAAGAGTGAAGTCGTTTATTTTCTTGTTTTGCTCCCTAAATTTAATGGTGTTTCCCTTGAGGCCATCTGAGTGATAGGCGCAAGTACAAAGTCAGCACCCTTTGTTTGTTATTTAAGGCCACACCAGCTCCCACTGTCTAAAGAATACCATAGAAGGGATGAGTCTACTCAGCCTCTCCAGAATCAGTTCTTTTGGTTTTCCTTTTATTTTTCAGTGCTGGGAATTGAACTCAAGGTGTGGCACATGTTGAACACGTGACCTACAATAAGCTACACCCCAGACCAAGGACCACCTCTCCTAAGTGCTCTTTTCCCATGTTGCCAAGCTTTACATTCTAGGCCCTGAGATCACAGACAGAATCCTTCCTGGGAGCAGAGCTGAATTTCCCTCTTGCTGATTAGGTAGCTCCTCTTGACCACATAATTCTTATTAAGAAATAGAAACAGCTTTTTCTATATGTAATGCATTTGTGACATTTAGTTATATTTAAATTTTGCATGCAGAACCCTGAGACTAAGTATCAAGGGAGGAAACCTCATCATGTATTGAGCAATTCGCTATCACTATACTTTTTGCTAATGAAGACAATCAAGACTTTCTGGGTTTTTCCCTAAATTCTGCATATGTATGTGCTTATAGTTCATTCTTTTAATGAGAGTAAGAGTTCAATGAGGCCAAAGACATGGTTTGAGTAATTCTAGCTTTCTTCTTCACGTGTGTCAGATGTCATGAAAGGCACCATTTTGGTCAAGAGGAAGATTGAGTTAGTATGATGGATCATTGATGTAACTTTTTGGTATTGACACAGTAGTCAAGGGACAAACCCCGGGAATGGATACATCAGAAGTGACACAGTAAGTGGGAGGAGGTAGAGTCAGGATTACGGGCCTTCCTACTCTTTTTTGCCTGTCACTGGCCTTCTTTCTTTATGTATTTATATTGGCTAAAATCAATTTTTCCCTAAGATGACCATACCACTCACTAAACTCCCTTGTATTAAGATTTTAAATAAACATTGAGTTTGCTATCTGTAACCTTTTGGTTTCACCAGTTAAAAAATTGACCCATGGTTAAGTGTTCTTTGCAGCTAGGTATTAACAACAGTTTGTATTTTAATTTATAAACCTCAGTTGCCAAGTAACCTTGAATCTTTTTTCTTTTGGTGCTCATAATTGAACTCAGGTCTTTGTACATTAAACTTGAATTTACTTATCAAAACTCCCAAATTATGTGAAGGTGGGAATATAGCTTAGTGGTGGAGCCATTATCTAGCATATGTGAGGCCCTGGGTCATATCCCCACCACCACACACACACATACACACCCACACATAAAGATAGTAATAAATACTTGAGAGGCTGAGGCAGGAGGATTGCAAGGTTCAGCCCAGCCCAGGCAATTTAGTGAATCCCTAGCTCAAAATTTAAAAAAGTAAAAAGGGCTGAGGATATGGCTTGGTACTTCCTGGATTCAATACCCACTATAACAAACAAGAAAAATAGACTAAAAATAATAAATAAATCAAAATAAAATTCAAGTGGTTTAGGAATGGTGATTCACAGGTATAAATTTCATCACACAAGGTTTGAGGTGTCTGTTATGAAAAGAAATGGCAGAGTTTATAGTCTATTGGGAGATACCTTAGAAACCACCAGATTGCAAATGCTGTTTAGAAAGGTTACTAGCTGGCAAGCGCAAGGTCGTGAGTTCGGTTCCCCGTACCAAAAAAAAAAAAAAAGAAAGAAAGGTTACTAGCTTGTGGTTACCAGCTCCTTCACTGAGCCATGGTGGTTGAAGTGAAACCATAAAGATGTTTCATATTGGAAGTAATAGAAGCCCATACTGGAGTCATGGGGAAAAGAGGAAAATGTGAATACATTGGAGATTTTTGAAAATATAGGTAATTCTGGAACACAAATGCAGACCAAAAAAGGCTGCAGACATTAGCCCCTATTCTTTCTTTCGTCTTGGTTTTTTTTTGAGATATGATCTTACTATGTAATGCAGGCTGACCTTGAACTCACAGTGATCCTTCTGTCTCAACCTCCCAAGTGCTAGGATTACAGGTATGCATGACCATGCCCAGCTTTTCTTTCTTTTTTAAAAACAAGATCTCACATTTTCCCACACTGGCCTTGAATTGCTAAGCTCAAGGGATCCTCCTGACTTAGCCTTCCAATTAGAAGGTATTAAACCCAGGGCCTTCCACATGCCAGGCAAGTGCTCTATTACTGAGCTACATTCCCAACCCTTTCTATGCCTTTTTTAAAAATATCTTAATGACATCTGGTTCTCTGCTCCATTTTGCTATAGGCTCAAGATTGCCTTTTTCAACTTTTGTTGTATTATAATGGACAGCACAACAGAATTGAAGACAAACACGAGTTCAAATTCCAGCTTTTTTTTTTTTTTTTTTTTGGATGGCTTTTCCAAGTCATTTCTCCTCTTTGGGCTTCAACTTACCCTTATGCAGATAAAGAGTTCTATTGAGCATTGTTTAAAAAGTGAAGTAAGACAATATATGGGAAAAGAATCCAGTTCAAGGTGTAGTACTGAAAGTTAGCACTCAATAAATGCTCAGTATTATTTATTATTGCTTCATGATCCAGACTTATCTATTTTGGAGATGACTTAAGAAACGATAAGGGAAAACCCTGAAAGAATCAGGATAAGCCTCCTATTTAAAGTTTTTTTGTTGTTTTCGTTTATAAGAAACATATCTGGTGAAGTAGATTTCTTTTCAGAAGCTGTCATGCTTGAGACGGGAATAGATGGTGTGATAAAAGGTGAATACCATTGCTTGGGCTAGGTCTGCGTTAATGCCTCAGGATGTGGTATTCTGGTACAAAGTCATTCGGCCTTTCCTGTGGTTACATATTAAGCTGAGGTGCAATTGGAGACAGCCAGCTCACTTTAATACAATTGTAAGAGATCCAGTTATGAAGTTACAATTCTTGGGAGTCTCTAATATCTTTATATTGCTTTGAGCATCTGCAGCCTTGAATGAAAATGAACTGTGGATGTGGTCTGGAGTATTTTGATGGAGGCTGTTTATGACCACATGATCAAAAATAACTATACTTGTTTCACTAGTGTAAAACCTGAAAGAGTTAATTTAAACTAGGAGGTATGATAGACATTGTGAAATGACAGGAAAACACTCAAGGGTAAAGGGCAATTGGGTTGTGGGAAAAGAGAAAGGAAAGAAGGGGAAATTTTGTATGTATGTATATGCAGGATAGTTAACATAATTGTTCTACTGTCTTCTATTTCTTTGCTGAAAGAAACTGTCAATGAGTCCTTGACTGATCAATATTGCATGTCTCTATCTGTTTTCATGAGAAACCACTTTGAAGATATCAATATGTAATACAACAAGCATTGTTAATTTCCTACCACTTTGTTTGTAACTGTATTGTCTGTACTGTTCTTTTGCTATTTTGTAAAAGGTTGTCTGTCTGTTAATGTTTTCCTCTTTTATCTTTAAAATAAAAAAAACTATACTCACTTTTAATTTAAATACCAATTTAGTTTCAGTTATTTGGCAGTGAACTCCATGCTGGCTAACACGTGCACTTTTCTTCCTGAAAACAAAAACTATTCAGTGATCCCCACCACATTTATTTATAGCAGAGAATAAAGTAATTGATGTTGGCAGGTATTCCTACCACAATTTTTTAAAACATGTTTGTATTTATTAGGTTATTTTGGTCAGAAATAAAAGAAACTAACTCTGGCTATTTTAAGCAAACAGAGAAGCTGAGAGAGGTGGTACACACCTGTAATCTCAGCATTCAGGAGGCTGAGGCTGTGAGTTTGAGGCCACCATGGGCTACACGTGAGACCTTGTTTCAAAAAAAAAAAAAAAACAAAAAACAGGGATTATATTTGAAAGATACAAGAGTATCTCCTCCATCAGAGGGATATGCTGAGCAGCCATGACTCAAGTAGGAAGTAAAGCAATGATAACTGAGAATATTGAGATATTATGCATTTAGCTGCTATATTGAAGCAAGCATGTCCCATACATATTCTGCACATCTCTTTGCTAATACTATGACAAGCATAGAATACAAACCCAAGCACCTATGTGGTTCTCAAATAACTGCATGGCACTATTTGTTCATAAAATAGGTGAAATTTTGAAATACGCTAACAATTTGGTGGGGGGGAGTTCTGAAAATACACAAATTTTTTATTTGCTCAAAAGAGTATATGCCCTCAATAGTAGATCTGTTGATTTTTAGGTTTTGTGGTGGGTTTGTGTAAGAATACTTTAACAGACTGAAAGTTCACTGAGTGTGAGCATGAAGAATTTTTTTCAAATTTTAAAACTTTCTATGAAAAAATGAAAGAAAAGCATCTTTCGGCCCAGTTTAAAATGGTCCAAGACACTAGGAATACACACCCTGGCTCACTCATCTTGAGGATACCCCTAAGTCTGCATAAAACCCTGGCCCCTAACCATACCCCCCTGTCTTCAGGGCCTTCACCCGGTGCTGTGTGTGTACTTTTTTTTTTTTTTTTGAGAGTGGGGGGAGAGAGAGAGAGTGTCTCACTGTGTAGTTCTGGGATTACAGAGTGCTGGGATTCTGGCCCTGTGTGTGTACATTTTAAATTCTGCCTAAGAAACCTCTTCGTGCCTCTCAAAAGAAATAAAAAAAAAGTCTAAGATAGAATTGGATTCATTGAAAGGCAAAGATGACCTCCCTTTTAAGGGGGAGCAAACCATCACTCATCTTTGGCTTTCTGTGGAAATTTCTTTTCATTATATGAGTGACAAAGAGTTACAGAACTTTCCTAGTTTATAGTTTTATAACATGACTGTACCTGGAGTCTTTAAGAAATAGGGCAATATAACATTAGTTTTGCAGTTTTACCTAAGATTTAAAAGTATCTCAGATAACAAAGAGGATGGCAAATGTAATCTCAGCATTTTGACAGTAACTTTCAATTTTGGGTGTTTCCTTTTAATATTTATTCATGTTTACTTGTGGTCCTATCCCTTCTGTTTTGTTTTGGTTTTTTTGCCCATGTTTGTTTATGGACTATAACTGTCATGAGATAAATTTAATGAAATAGGTTTGTTTACTGCATTCTGATAGCCTTTAATCGGAAAACTACTGGTAGAGGAAGGTACAAGACATGTGCTAAAAATGTGTAAGACTGCAATGTCTTTGGAAATTGGTTTTCATAGTCTGTGGACATCTCCTCAACAGTACTGTTTCTTTCCTTTGATTTAGTTGATCATGGCCTTGCTAGGTTGGTGACAGCATACTGTGAGCATGGTCATAAAGCTGCTCAAATCAACCCCCTCCTTGTTGGACACACCCCACCGGACAGCATGCCTGAGATTCAGGCCCTTGTGCAGAGCCTGCAGGGACCCTTCCGCACCACAGGTAAGGGAGTTTTGTGGAAGAGACCTGGCCCCCAGAAGCATCCTGACTGTGCCTGAAAAGCCTGGGTGCCCTAAGAGCTGAGGCTTCTGTGCAGTTCAGTGGCTATCAGCCAAGACCAGTCCAGAGGCTCTGGGATATTCTGAAAGGACCCGTTTCCTCTGCATTCAAAGCATTTCAAACTCCTATTCTGTGCCACTGCTTTACACATATTGCATCAAATCATTTTCACAAACACTGTAAAATAGTTGTCATCCTTTTTTTTACTGAATGGGGAAACAGACTCAGAGAGCTTAAGGACCCAGGTCTTGCTTCCATCCCAAAGCCTGCACCTCCTCATCTGATTTTCTTTCCTACCCTAAAAAGTAGAATAAAACAAAAACAAAACAGTCCTGGTTTTACTAAGGCTGATCTTGAGGTCCTGTCTCTTATTTATTTATTGTGGATGGAACCATAGTATACACATACTCTATCACTGAGCTACATGCCCTGGCACATGCAATTTTTAGTTATTATGTGACCATTGGTCTAGTTCCAGAACATTTTGTCACCCAGAAGGAAACCTTGTACTCATTAAGCAGACACCCCTCATTCTGCAGTCCCCCCAGTAATTTACTTCCTGTCTCTATAGATTTTTCTGTTGTGGATGTTTCATGTTATTAGAATCATATATCATGTAGCCTTTTGTCTCTGACATCTTTTACTCTGTAATGTTTTGAAGGTTTGCCTGGGTTATAGCACGTATTTGTCCTTCCTTATGAGGCAGAGTAATATTCCATTTTATGACTGCATCACAGTTTATTCTTTTATCCATCGATGGACATTTGAGTTCTTAGTTCATTTAATGTTTATAACCACTCCCTGAGGTACCTTGATGGTCCCTACTTTACAGATTAAAAAGTGAGACAGAAGGATGTTATACAACATGCAAAGCTTTTTCTTCTTTGTTTTACTAAGAATTGAATTCAGGGCCTTCCCACTGAGCTACATCCACATCCCTTTTTAAAAATTTTTATTCTGAGACAACGTGTCACTAAGTCACTTTGTAGTCCATGCTAGGCTCGAACTTTCAGTCCTCCTGCCTCAGCTGCCCAGAGTGCTGGGATTACAGGTGTGTACCACTGCTACTGGCTGCATAGCAACTTTTGTGAGTTGAATAGTCAACCAGTATTAAAGATCTAAACACGTGATTATAAGAAGCCATTAGCAACATAGTAAATGTTTTGCTAAACTATAGTTGTAGGAGTGAGCAAGTGTCTAATAACTGATGCCATATACAAACTTCCTCTATCTTTTGCTGACATTCAATATTTCCTTTACTTTAAAATGCTGCCTTGCTGTTAAAACAAATCCATGTTTAACTTTACATCAAGATAAACTGTTCCTTAATGTTTATTGCTTTATAGATATCAATAAAAGATGAATATTTTGGCAGATATAGCATGTGTGAGTTGTAGCTATAAGGCAAGTGTAAGGTAGGTTTTAAATTTTGTTATTATCATTTTTTTTTTTTTTTGATGGTATTGGTGCTGGGGATGGAACCCAGACCCTCATACTTGCCAAGAAAGTGCTCTACCACTGAGTTGCATCCCAGCTTTTTAAAAACATTTTTTAAATAATTCTGAGCTGTGTGTGGTGGCACATGCCTATAATCCCAGCACTTGGAAGGCTGAGGCAGGAAGACCACCATGAGTTTGAGGGCAGCTTTGGCTACATAGTGTGAGTTAAAGGTTAGCTAGAACTGCGTTGCAAAAGCCTGTCTCAAAAACACAAAACAAAACAAAAAAAATTTTGAGACAGTTTTGCTAAATTGGTTAGGCTGGTCTCAAACTTGGAATCTTCTTGCTCAGCCTCCCAGGGAGCTGGGATTATAAGAGAGCACCACTATGTCTGGCTTTTATTTTGTTTTTTTGTTTTGTTTTATTTTGTTTTGTTGTTTGTAGTGCTGAGGATTGAACCCAGGGCATTGCCCACACTAGGCAAAAGCACTATCACTAATTCAAAGACCCAATCCAAAAGTGGCATCATTGGTCATTTGAGAGATGCAAATTAAAACAATACTGAGATTCCATCTCACCCCAGAAAGAATGGCTATTATCAAGAAATCAACTAAAAACAAATGCTAGCAGGGCTGTGGGGAAAAAAGAAACCCTTCTCCACTGTTGGTGGGAGTGTAGACCGGTGCAACTACTGTGGAAATCAATGTGGAGATTCCTCAAAAAACTAGGATTAGAGGTCCCATTCAACCCAGCTATTCTTCTCTGGGTATCTTCCCAGAAGAATTAAAATCATTATACCACAGAGATATATGTGCACCCATATTTATAAGGGCACAATTTATAATAGCTAAATCTTGAAAATAACCCATATGCCCATCCACTGAGGAATGGATAAAAAATATGTGGTATTTTTATACAATGGAGTACTACTCAGCTATAAAGAAAGGTAAACCTGAGACTTTTATAGGTAAATGGATGCAACTCGAGAGAATACTCATAAGTGAAATAAATCAGACCCACGTGTGTAAGCATTGTATTGTCTCCTTTCTGTGAGAAACTGAACTAGTAAATAAGATCCAAAATGTACAATAGATATTGTGAATTGGGAAAAAACTTCAAAAGAAAAGAGAAACTGTGATGGGGAAAGGAGAAAGGGAGGAAGGGAAAAGGAAAAAACTACATACATATATGTACACAAGATAGTTAAGATAGTTATACAGTTAGTTTCTCTTAGTTCATTGAAAAGGAAGGTTTGTGCTAATATTGTCTGGACAATATTTCATGCCTACATTTTATACATGGAAGCAACTACTGTGAAGATAATATGCAATGTATTAATTATTGTTACTCTCCTACTAGCCTGTTGTGAAACTCTGTTTTATTGTTATTTTAATTTTTTTCTCTTAAAAGAAGGCTCTGCCACTGATCCATATACCATCAGGCTTCAAAAGTTTAGTGTGAAGGAGTCTCTGCCCTCTGTGCACCCACAGCAGACTGGAGTCTCTCACTCAGAAGGCCCTGGGACTACTCTCACCAGGGTTTGCATGTGGGCCTTCCCCTTGTGCCAAGTGAACAGGCGCTCCAGGAGCTGCTGATATCATGGTTTGAGTCTGTGCTTTACTTGTGCCCAAACCCCCTGGGAAGTCCCAGGCACGGGCAGTCCGTGATTGCTGTTTGAGTGGCCCAGGTCTGGCTCCTGGGCACATTCTGAACTGACTGAGAAGCAGAACCAGGCCAGCTGTGACCCGCTGCCACCATGGTTCCCAGTGGAAAGCCACGGAGAAGACCAGGTATTTCCCATCTACTCCCTGGAGGCAAAACAGGTGACCAACGACCCTGCTGCCATTATAGTCTGAGTCTCTGCCCTCCGTGCACCCCTGGAAGACAGGAGCTCCTCACTTAGAGGTCCAGGGACCGCTCTCACCAGGGTTCACGTGTGGGCCCTCCCTGTGCATGCCCTGGGCCGAGTGAGTGAGCACTCTAAGAGCTGCTGGTACCCTGGTTCGAGTCTGTGCTTTACTTGTGCCCTGATACCCTGGGAGTTCACAGACATGGGCAGTCTTTTATTGCTGTTGATGCAGCCCGCATCTGGCTCCTGTACACATTGTGAACTGACTGGAGACACAGAATCAGATGGTCCACAAACTGTTGACCCTACAGTATGTGTCTGGGTGTTGCCTGTACCCTGACCTGCCTGGGGACACAGGTCCACTGCACCAGGATTGTCCCATCAGTGCAACCCTAGCCCGGATCGTACACATACCCTGAACTGCAAGGAGATGCTGGATCAGGTAGTCTGCCATCAGCTGACACCAATGCCCCTATCTGAGACCTGGGAAAACTAGATATACTTCAGCAACTGCCGGAAAACCCCAGACTAAGTAGTGCATCTCAGCAGACATGGAGGGGCAAACTTGACCAACAGGAAAACTAGGAACACAAGTGGCCTTTACTGTGCAGCCAATGAAGAGGGAAACTGAGCTTTCTGCATCCAGTATCAAACATGACAAGATGAAGAACTAAAAGACAATCCCAGAATTCCACCCCACTCAGAATAAGTCCAGGAGACATTCACATAGGAGAACTTGGTAAATACATGCCTGAAATAGCTGAAATGATTGCAATGGAAGTAAAGAAACAACACCAGAAGGCCATAGAAGAGATCACATCAGAAATAATCTCTCAGAAAGAAAATGAAATGACAATAATAATGAAAGAACTGCTCAAAACGTCTGAGGAAGAAACATATAAGAAAACAGAAAAACAAAGGGAATGAACAGAAATGTTAAATGAAAAATATAGAAAGGACTTAGAACACATGAACCAGATTCAAAGAGATTTCCAGGAAATTAAAGCTTCTGTTGAATGCCAACCGCTTGAATGAAGCTGAAGATAGAATTTCAGACTTTGAAGACAGCATGGCATCTAGTGACCGTGAAAGAAAGGATCTCTTAAAATCAACAAGGATCCAGGAAAAGTCAATTCAACAGCTGCAAAAAGAGGGAAAGAGAAATAATGTGCGACTTATAGGAGTCAATGAAACGCAGGAGGCAACACAACTGACATAAAGAGAATACTTGCAGAAATAATAGCAAAAAATTTCCCAAGTATGGAAACAGAACCTGATATACAGTAAATGAGGCATATAAAACTCCAATCAACCAAACCAAAATAAAACTACACTAGGACATATAATAGTCAAGTTCCCAGATCTCCAGCAAAAGAACAGAATTGTAAAGCTGCTACAGAAAAGAAAGATATTACCTACAAAGGAAAGCCCATCAGAATCACGGCAGAATTCTCAGCACAAACCATCCAATTGAAAAGAGCTTGGAGTGAAGTATTACAGGTCCTGAGACAAAAGAGGTTCCAACCA